GTTGTATCCTCATTTTGGTGAATGTAGTAGGTAATCCATTCAATTCCATTTAATTCAAATCCAAATCAATTTTGCATAATATAGCATGAAATAATAAGTACACGTCCTCCCAAACATACCAACACAATGCCATATCGCTTAGTACAAGGACAATGAAAGGGTTTGATTTCTTCACAAAGAACCCCAAATTATATTTTGACAAATATCAGGTCAAATTATTAACCAGCACTTTTGCCTCTAGTGCAATAAACAAATAACTCCATCAATCATAATCCATTTACATGCTACTATCAAGCCTTCATTTGCACATTAGGCAATTAGCCAAGGGCCCACTGTCCATCTAAATTAATAAAGAATACTGAAGGCTAGATCTCTCAGCTGGAGCTTATTGTGACGCCCTATTTCCAGCGAGATTCAATTGCTGACAATACTTAATTTGTTACTGTGATATTGATCCTCTTTGTTCCCTGACATCTGAAAACATGCAGCTGCAACAGTAATGATGACTTTGGATAATGATTATAATGCACAACAACACACTGCTTTATGGCCAAACAGGCTATTGCACTGACAAGGATATTACCAGAAAAGTCATACATTTATCTGATAAAAAATATATATCTCTACATTCTCAAAATAAGCTAAATACAACAAAGCTTTTACTAAAAAGCACTTTGCTGGTACCATGGTCCAGTGATGCCATTAGAAGGATGCCATTGCACGGAATAATTAAGTTTAAATAGCAAACAACATTGTGTTGCCATGGTACTTTTTTTTCTTAAAAAAACACATATATATACATATATATATATATGTATGTATGTATGTATGTATAAAATAGTTATATATGTAGTGGTAATAGTGAGGCATCAAAATGATATTTTGACCAAATCCAAAATCAAAGATGTCATTTAGCTGAAGACCAAAACCAAAAATAAAGTTGCGTAATTAAAATGGGGAACTCTGTGTGTTGTTCATGGTGTTTTGTCATTATGTAATCATTTGCACATTAGGCAATTAGCCAAGGGCCCACTGTCCATCTAAATTAATAAAGAATACTGAAGGCTAGATCTCTCAGCTGGAGCTTATTGTGACGCCCTATTTCCAGCGAGATTCAATTGCTGACAATACTTAATTTGTTACTGTGATATTGATCCTCTTTGTTCCCTGACATCTGAAAACATGCAGCTGCAACAGTAATGATGACTTTGGATAATGATTATAATGCACAACAACACACTGCTATATGGCCAAACAGGCTATTGCACTGACAAGGATATTACCAGAAAAGTCATACATTTATCTATGATAAAAAATATATATCTCTACATTCTCAAAATAAGCTAAATACAACAAAGCTTTTACTAAAAAGCACTTTGCTGGTACCATGGTCCAGTGATGCCATTAGAAGGATGCCATTGCACGGAATAATTAAGTTTAAATAGCAAACAACATTGTGTTGCCATGGTACTTTTTTTTCTTAAAAAAACACATATATATACATATATATATATATGTATGTATGTATGTATGTATAAAATAGTTATATATGTAGTGGTAATAGTGAGGCATCAAAATGATATTTTGACCAAATCCAAAATCAAAGATGTCATTTAGCTGAAGACCAAAACCAAAAATAAAGTTGCGTAATTAAAATGGGGAACTCTGTGTGTTGTTCATGGTGTTTTGTCATTATGTAATAAACCAGCCGTAGTACATTTCTATAGTAAGAAGTTATCTTCCGATATTTCAGAACAATGGTAGTTTAGATTTACATTGGTATTTAAGAAAAGTTTTTATGAACAGTAAACTATATCCACACAGCTGACATGTTTACCTGTTGTAGCTTATCCAAACTGCATGCATGAAAAGACAATGACAGAGTGTATGGCTTCAGTCAATGGATTCTGCCCTCCAAATTACTTTGCCTAAAACTATTGCCTGTTTTTTTTTTGCTTTCTAGGGTGAATATTTACAGTAGCTGAAATTTTGATGTTATAATATGCTAAGTTTTTTACTAAACTAGTTTTATAATGATGTGAAATAGGTGGAATACAGCACTGTAAAGCTTTCTAATGAGCCACTCAAAAAAAATCTATTATTTTATTTATAATACCAAATAAAAAATAATAATAACCAGGTATAAAAAAAGCGTTGTTAGAATAACACTGTCCTTTTGTTGAGGTCCTGCTTAGGTCTGTGCAATGAAGGCCTCTGCGAAGGAAGCAGATCGCTTACGGCACTGAATGGTTGCAGACAAGGTTGTGAGGGTGTTTAGTTTAACATGATGTTTACATTGTCCACAGGGAAGCCATCAGCACACAATTCACTCCCAGCAGGATTATGCAGATAAGATGGGATGTAAAAAGGATGCAATGACAACTTAAAAAAAAAAAAAAAAAAACTCTTACATGAAGACATGCCCATTTCCTTTCCAGCACAATGAAAAGTTGGAATGCCGTCATCAGCGAGATGTAGGTCACCTGAACTTTCAAAACTGCTTTTGATTCACATACGTGTGCTTCAAATAAACACATATTTTCGGAAGGGGACCCCACAATTAGTAACTTGAAACTCGCTCTCCGCATGTAGGTCCAATTCTCTGGAATCAATCAAAACTCCCAAAGGAACTCCCTGTTCCCCCCTTAATCTCCTGGTTTTATTACTTTCCAGACAGAGTCTGCCCATTCCACCCAGCCCCCCATTCCTCTCTTTTGTACTGATCTCCAGCAAAGCCTGTGATTTTTTACCACAGCACATTGCTTTTCATGCAGCAGAGCAGCTTTCATCAGCCTCCGCACGCAAGACAGCCCAGCCGCAAACTCCACTACGGCCTGCTCTCTCCGCACGTGATCCTAATAAACAAGCTCACAGATCCAAACTAGTGAAAGCATGTTGCCAATACTAATGAAAGAGTTAAATGATGCATCACGCAAATTAAATGTGAGCCTTTTCATATTCAATTTGAACAAGTGTTACGAATGCACTAACAAAAGATTGATAGATTCAATTTCTTTGCTCTGAAGCGAAATCACAACCACCTAGGTCCAATTCTCTGGAATCAATCAAAACTCCCAAAGGAACTCCCTGTTCCCCCCTTAATCTCCTGGTTTTATTACTTTCCAGACAGAGTCTGCCCATTCCACCCAGCCCCCCATTCCTCTCTTTTGTACTGATCTCCAGCAAAGCCTGTGATTTTTTACCACAGCACATTGCTTTTCATGCAGCAGAGCAGCTTTCATCAGCCTCCGCACGCAAGACAGCCCAGCCGCAAACTCCACTACGGCCTGCTCTCTCCGCACGTGATCCTAATAAACAAGCTCACAGATCCAAACTAGTGAAAGCATGTTGCCAATACTAATGAAAGAGTTAAATGATGCATCACGCAAATTAAATGTGAGCCTTTTCATATTCAATTTGAACAAGTGTTACGAATGCACTAACAAAAGATTGATAGATTCAATTTCTTTGCTCTGAAGCGAAATCACAACCACCTTCTCTAAAGGCATATTTACACAGCCGAGTTAGGGCTGCTCTATGCTGGATCCATATTCTGTGCCAGAATACAACGCAATGGCACATAAAAGAGTAATATGGTAGCTCTGACCCAGCTCGGTCCCTGTATCAGAGGCGCCTCTGTTGCTGCATTGGCTCTTTGTAAATGAAATGCAATCTTTAACTTTGCTAATGTCATGTCGGAGTTTATATTTAATTATTAATAAAAGTTGTTTATTCACAATTTCCTATTTATAAAAGGAATGTTTTAGAAATTATAATCAGTGTAAATACATTTATGTTGCCTACGTGCAGCATTAACCGATCTGTATAAATGCACCTTTCATTTTCAGGTATATATCTAGCTTCTGTGCTGTCTTTTCAGTGTAAATATTATATGTAAGCAATGGTTTTTGTCCCAGGTATATTCTTTTTGGTTTCAAGCAGAGCAAAGTAATTCACTTTCACTCTTCAACCCAGAATTGCACAGCCACCCAAATAAATAGGGTAGATGTTCTTCCCGAAACACATATTTTTCATTTTCTTCCAAGTCTGTTGAAAAAAAACAGCATATGCTGGGTAGGTATGTTTTGACGCTGGGATGCTGGTTTAAGCTGGTCCTTTGCTGGTTTATGCTGGTCCTTTGCTGGTTTATGCTGGTCCTTTGCTGGTTTATGCTGGTCCTTTGCTGGTTTAAGATGGTTCTTTGTTGGTTTAAGCTGGTCCTTTGCTGGTTTAAACTGGTCTTTTGCTGGTTTAAGCTGGTCCTTTGCTGGTTTAAGCTGGTCTTTTGCTGGTTTATGCAAGTCCTTTGCTGGTCCTTTTGCTGGTTTAAGATGGTCCTTTGCTGGTCCTTTGCCAGCACATGACCAGCATAAACCAGCAAAGGAGCAGTTTAAACCAGCAACAGACCAGCATAAACCAGCAAAGGACCAGCTTAAACCAGCATATGCTGGTTTTTTCAACAGGGTGTGCAGTGAAAACAAATACCTTATTCGATTTATGCCCTCTGTACAAAACATATCATGGATTAACCACAAGATATGATGCAAAAGATCTACGACTTCTTACAGAGACCGTGTCTAAGCGCTATATGACACTCCAATAGTGCGTGAAAAGCACTGATTTCCACAGACACGAGGTTATTAGCCTATAATTAACGAGACTTCATTTACTTATTTTTATTATTTAATAAAGGAATGCGGTTTTCTATTCAGGTGAAAATGTGAAGGTGTTAATGGAGGTCACACCTTTGCAGTTAAAATGAGCCTTTTCAGGGCAAACATAAAGATTAAAAAGCGATATTACACCTATGTTTTGATTTATGAGTCTGTCTGAACAGAGCGTGCTCGATGAACTGCACAAAATCCTTGATGTTGTGATAGTTGTACAAGTTATTAAATGTTAGTCACACATAGTCTTACATACATTTTCACAAATTGTCACTTTAACACTAACAGACGGCGGGTCGCACTACAGAAAGTTGTAATGCTCATGAATCTTACCTTTCTCAGCATGTAAAACTATGATCGTGAGGCAGAAAAGAGAGAGGAGCAGCCGGGCTCCCCGCTCCGCCATCACTTTAAACACAAATAAAAGAAGTGTGAAAAGCCTCGAACTCGATCCGTATTTAAAATCCTTCGGATCGCGCGCACGGATCAGTTCAGCAGTGTGAACGCATCCGCAACGAGTTACTTCCGAAAGTTGCCGAAGGAAACATGAAGCTCGCTGAGCAGAGGCACGATCAGCCCGAGAAATGCGCTTTAAAACTTCAACAGGCGACCGAGTAAAATCAAAGTCAATCCATATTTCCGAGATTAAACCAACGCCGAGCTGAACAGGAGAGAAATGAGAGGCGTCAGTGCAGACATAATGTGTAAAGGTGAAGAGACAGAGAGAGAGAAAGCCAGTCTGGACGAGAGAGAGAGCGAGAGCGAGAGAGAGAGAACAGCAGGAATTCAGATCGGACCCTGGGAAAACCGGAACTGGATCACAAAGAGATCAGGATTCATCTCACGTGGCCACCCCAAAAGCCTGGAATGGCTTTAAATTGCAAAAAAAAAAGTGCAAAAGGTTGTGGGTTCAATTCCCAGGGAACACACATACTGGTAAAAAATGTATAGCCTGAATGCACTGTAAGTCGCTTTGGATAAAAGCATCTGCTAAATGCATAAATTATTAAATTATAAATCCATATGTTTGAAATACCACACACAAGGATCTTCCTGATCCTTGATCTGGCAACCTGTTTTTAAACCTTTTGCTTATACTTGTAAAGCTTAACTTAAAACTTTACTTGAAATAACTGACTAAATAAATGCACAACATTGAGGAACAAACGTAACAAAACTTTACTTGAAATAATTGGCTAAAAACATTCATTAGCAACATTAAGGTGGAACAAACATTAAGCTAGTTGCAAATGCTCAAGTTCTTGGGTAAAAACAAGCACATGTCACAAATTCATATTTCATGGTTTAATTAAAGACTAAAGTTATGTTGGGCCATTGTGCCAAACATTCCCATGGGGATGTTATGTTATGTTGTGCCAACCGTCTCTACTCACACTCATGTTCTATATGATGTTTGCCAAGTGGCATAATTTATCACAGGCTTCCAAATACTATATGAAAATGTAACTGGTTCCATTGCTAGTAGCCAGCATTCATATATTTGAAATATTCTCTCTATTTTTAGAATGTATTTCATGGAAAGACGTTTTTGTTGTTGTTTTGACATATAAAAATGGAAAAGTCTTGAACCACTTGACAGAAGCAATGTGACAAAAATCTTTTCATTCAACTGCCACTGAAAAATGCAACATTTTCAGATCTGCTCTGGAAACACTCACTTGGAAGAGCTCCATCTACTGGCAGATTTACTCAATGAAATGTGGGCCAGTGATGGTACCATGTTCTTGTGCCATTGTGTTACTTCAAGGTACTTGAAATGGTGCATGTCTGTAAAACATATTATCGCATGGTCCTTTTTTGTTGGTGTAGAATTTTCTTCTGACTGACTTTTGTAAAGGAAGGTGAGTAAATTCCTCAATGAAAATGTTGTGTATGTATTTTCATCCTTTGGGTGTGAACAGGATATTAGAGTCAGTTCTCACATTAACCATGCACTGCTCACCTCAGTAACATTACATCCTTTTTAATCTGCATAAGCAATTATTATTCACCATTTACCTCTAGTGTATTACACATTATTTGCTGTGGTGAAACTGCAGCAATGTACAGGATGTGCACATGAGGTGCTGGCTGTTATTTTATGCTAATAGTGATATGGGATCTCTTACCACTTGCAGCTGAACACGCTACCCTTGATTAGCTTGAACCTTTGGGATCAAATCAATGTGTTCCTTAGCATGGATTTCAAGGGCCTCTATATGTTCCTGTCTGGACAGACGTGAAAGATGAATGTTGGAATGATGGACAGAACCGAATTGTACATCTGCACGGCTACTTTCATATTTTTCTCACTTGGTGGCTGAAGGATTAAAGCACTTGGCAGTGAAACTGCTGAGGATTACAGGGATTAATACAGGTTTAGAAAACGCTGGCGGAATTAATCTGATCACTGTAAGCACTGAACCCTATTAATTTAAGGTAGATTATCTGGTTGTGGACGGGGACATCGTATGTCATATGGACAACAGTGTTTGCTGAATTGTCAGCTCACAGACTCATCCTGACTGATGCAGGTTAATATATCGTCACCTTCTATGCGTTTTGTGTTGTTGATGTTACATCTACTCACTTCTTCGAGTGTTTTTATGTCACTCTCCTTCTTTCCAAAAAAATTGTCCTGTCACCATTAACTCACCATCATGTTTTTCCAATGCTGTATCACTTCCAGGATACATTTTGAAGAATTTTTCAAGCTTCAAAAAACATGCAAAAGCACCATAATTGTAATATAAAAGTGGTATATTTGACATTATGTTCCAAGTCTTCTGTGTGAGAAAATGACTAATGTTAATGCAATTAGTTACTTATAATCATACTCTCCAGTAAGCTATTAGCCAGATCATTAAGCATGATGAACACATTTTACAAACCATGTCACAAAAACAATTTCAAATGCAAGTTTATTCTATTTTAAAATATTAACAGCATATACTGTTCAAAATGAAATGTTTTCTGGTTGTTTGATGAACTTCCGCTGTACACCTATGTTAAAGGGTTAGTTCACCCAAAAATGAAAATTAGCCCACCTTCAAGTCATCCTAGGTGTATATGACTTTCTTCTTTCAGATGAATCCAGTCGGAGTTATATTAAAAATGGTCTTTGATCTTTCAAGCTGTTTCATGGCGCTCAGCGGGTGTTGCAAGCATCCGTCCAAAAGAAGTTAAATAAAATGTGCCCATCCATTAAAATAAAAAAAAGTGTCTCACACGGCTCCGGGGGGTGAACAAAGGCCTTCTGTAGCGAATCAATGCATTTTTGTTTGAAAAATATCCATATTCAAGATGTAATAATCACTTTAATGTAGCTTGCGCTCACTGTTGTAAAGGGAAGCAGTTCCGGGGCAATGACGTATGGAGGTCAGCGCTGCGCATGCGCCGCTCAGAAGTGATGCACGTGGAAGTGCAGGGGAAAGATCAAAACAAAGGTCACTAATTAGAAGTACAAAATGAGGATTTGTAGGATTTGGATATAAACCAAGAGGAGACTAGTTTTCCTTTGCTAAAGTAAGGAAACTTTGCTTCCTTTGCTCCGGTTAACAAACGTTGGTTTTCACGAGACCCACTGGCGCATGCGCAGCACTGACCTCATACGTCATCCGCCCGGAACTGCTTCCAGTGTACAACAGTGAGCGCAAACTAGATTAAAGTGATTATTACATTTTGAATATGGATATTTTTCTTACAAAAACACATCGATTCGCTACAGAAGGCCTTTGTTCACCCCCCGGAACAAAGAAGTGAGACACTTTGTTTTAATGGATGGGCGCATTTTATTTAACTGCTTTTGAACGGATGCATGCAACACCCACTGAGCGCCATGAAACAGCTTGAAAGATCAAAGACAATTTTTTATATAATGCCGACTGGATTCGTCTGAAAGAAGAAAGTCATAAACCTAGGATGACTTGAGGGCGAGTCATTTTTGGGTGAACTAACCCTTTAACTGACTCTATACATCCCCTAAAATCTCCTTGAGTCAAGCAAAAAAAAAAGGTAACTAAAAAAAAAATGCTGTATTTGTTTGCAGTTGTAACTTTGTTTGCTAATGCAGTGACATTCAGACATGTCTAATTTGTGCAAATGCTGGTCACCATATCAAAATAGCACGGTATTACTGTTACTATATGATACTTTTATTGTACCATGGTGAACACAAAAGTTCAGTTTTTAAATGATAATATCATTTCTAAAGCAAAAAAAGTTGTCTAACTCCAACTGTGTCTGTCTGAAAATATATTTGCCCCGTACCTATTAACTCCTAAATCTATGACACAAATCATAAATCAATATACAATAAATTAAGAACACATTCACACAATAGTGATTGTTCTGCAAACTTTTTCTTTTGTGTTTTTGAAAAACTTCATGTACAGCCAGCAATGCTGTCAAAATGTCCACACAGATCCGCAAAAAAAAAAGACTAAAACGCTATATTACGAATACCAGGCAAGTAGTTGGCAATGTCACTTTGTTAAGAAACACTACACACCTGCGGGCATTGACTGAAAACATAATATGCATGCAAATGATGTCACCGTTTTCACAAATTCACGTTTTTGTAGTTTACACAGAAACAATAACAGTATCAATTTTAAAAGCTTTAAATCCTGTTTTTAAAAGTTTGTGTTGTCAGGTCCCCAAAAAGCCATGGTCATGTAAATAAATGACCAAACAGCATAAAAAGTATCAATTTCCAGCTGAAAATGGTGCTGCGTAAACACCCTCTTGAGCATTCCTAATGGGGCTTAGCTGGACCAAATGCCTGATTACCAACTCGGGCCTGATTGCTGCCAGCCCTGTTCAATTAAATCAACACTTAATTCAACTTTGTCAAAAACATAAAGTTGGTTAAAAGGTCTAACACAGTAAGACAATATGGAAAAAAACAAAATGGAAATACAAAACTGACCAACCTTTCAATATTCCTACAAGAGCACAGTGACGATTCATCCAGAAAGTCACAAAAGACCCAATGACAACATCGAAGGAACTGCAGACTTTTCTTGCATCAGAAAAAGTTCATATTCATGACTCCATTATCTGAAAGACACTGGACAAAAAAATGGAAAAGCAGCAAGGCAAAAACCACGGCTAACCCAGAAGAACATTAAGGCTCATCTGAATTGCCAAAACACACCTTGATGATTCTCAAACTTTTTGGGAGAATGTTTTGTGAATTGATGAGTCTAGTGTGGGATGTTTTGGAGACCGGTGTCCTGTTACATCTAACCTAAACTAAACACAGAATTCTGCATACATGCTGTACATACATGCATGCATAAACCTACCTATCAGTCAAGCATGGCGGTGCCAGTGTACTGGAGTGGTGATGCTTTGCTGCTTCAGGGCCTGGGCAACTTGCAATAACTGAGAGGGAAACATGAATTCTGCTCTCTACCAGAAAATCCTAAATCAAAACGTCTGGTCTTCAGTCTGTGTAAGGTGAAGCTCAAGCATAACGAGATTATGCTGTTCATGCTTGAAATGTGCTCCAATGTGGCTGAACTAAAGCAGTTCTGCAAATACGAGTGGGCCGAAATTCCACCACAGTTCTGTAAAAAAACTAATCTCCAGTTATCAGAAGCATTTGGTTGCAGTTATTGGCACAAAGATTTTAAGTTTAGGGGGAAATTAATTTTTCACATGGATGATAGGTTTTGTCCAACTTGTTTTTAATGTCTACACATCAACGATATACTAAAAAATTTTAAGTTTT